GCATTGATATCTTTCGTTTTCGCTTTAATTCTTAGCGCAGTTTACTTCTGGTTGATATTCTAGCATTGGCGGAAGTAATGAATTCGTCTATAGACAGTTTAGTTTAAGCTGACTCGGGCACTGTCGGCTGTAGCTACAATCGTGTAGCTACAAACAGGGACGTGGAGGATGAATCGTCATCGGCTTTCGCAATTAGCAATGACGAAAACCCTTGAACTCACATTAATTGGAACAATACTGGCCTTGGCAACAACTAATGTGACGGAGCAAACAATATGAGAGAAAAGTACCCAGATTGAAAAGGAGAAGAGGAAGAAATAGAGAGGAAACGGAATAGGTGCTACATGTATAGTCAGTACTGAGTTTTTAATCACATCTAAAAGACAGTACATAAACACAGGCAAGGAATTATCTACAGTCGTGGTGTAATCTAAGGAAGCAATTTAAGAAAAGAAATGCTTTTTAAACAGGAGGTGAAAAGGGAAGGAGAAGAATCAGATAATGTACGGATTTTAGACAATATTTCAGTGGCAATTTAATGACAGCCTGGGATTTTGTTTTGAAAATAATAACTCTTTGTAGGGATGGAGCACATTAAAGTGTATACTTTAGTTTACTAATCAAACTTTTCAGGGTAAAATTCATGCAAGTGGACTGCCCTGAAATATTTGTGAAGCATGATTCATCCTGTATATGAATAACCCATTTAAGAAAAGAAATCCCTATAACACTGTATTTGATGCGGCAAATAGAACGAATGTGAAACAGCTCCATAATTTGATCATTAACAAATAATAAATTAACTCTGAAGATCTTCTCCCTGTCTTTTGGATATCCTTCCTTGATTGTCATCACAATGAACCCTCATGTTTGCATCTTTGTACAAAACTAAAACATACAAATAAGTATCATTGCATATATGCCTAACAATCTGTTTCACTTCTAGTCTATTCTTGGCACAATTATTATTTGTATTCTGCGCTTTCTTTTCACTACTCTAATTTGTTGTCAACAGTTATGAAAATGCAGCAGCTTATGAAATGCAAAGTACCTTAGAGTGTACATGGCTTCAATACACAAAGTGCCTTTGATAAACGTGTCAAGCAGGAGGACATTGAAACCTATTATTTAAGAAATGAACTCAACAAATGTTCTGTAGGAAAACTGTTGACAACATCTACAACCACATTTCTCTTAAAAAATTACACTCATGAAATTAAAAGATGTTTTACTTAGTTTCAAGTCTTTTCAAAAATTTGACAATTTTCAAAAAGAAAAGCAAAAACTCAGACAGTAATAAATGTAACACCTTGAAACACATTGTCTGCAGAAAATTTGAAGCCCTCAAATAAAACATGCTTTGTGTTTGCATTGTGGTCATACTGCAATGAATTTGTAATGAATTCATATTTTCACAAGGTAAAAATGCTCTGCCCAGTGTAAGTTAATGTACCTAATGAAAAGGATCTGACAGAGGTATTTGGTAATCACAGCTACATGTATGAGTTCCATCAGTTTTAGTTAGTAGTGATATGTAACCAGAGACAGAAATACATAGAAAACAGAATAGAGGAGGAAGTATGAAGCAGAAAGAACAGGGCAATCTATAAGTAAGTGGAAGCAAGCAGTTCTCAGATTAGAAATACGTATAGTAATGCAGCAAGTGAAGGTAACATTAGAAATAAGGTTGAAAATAAATTTACAGTAAGATTTAAAAAACAAACTCGTTGCATTGTGTTCTGCCTTTTTTTTATTATTCTCAGAAAACACAGATGATGGCATGCTTGACAGCATGATTGAAGTTTTGAGGAAGTATTCTAATAATAGATCAACATTCATCACAAGTCTCCATGGCATATCCATGTGCAGAACCCTTGGTCTCAATGTGAGACTCATCAAATTGCTTAATAGGACACAGTACTTTGACCCCTTTTTCCTTTTAATAGGTGAAATGTTGGTCATTGAATGAAATTTAACATGTCCTTTTTAATACTGAACTGCAAAATCGACCTAATAAAATATTGAACAATTTAAACAACAAATGTGCATTACAGCACGGCATCAATCTATTACTCACTATGTAACACATGAATAAAAAGTAAAAAAAGGACGCATCCTTGTTTTCATCATATCCTTAATGCATGGTCTATCAAACAACATTCACTCATAATCTCATTCATTCCTTGTCTTTCACTCCCTGCTTCTAACATCCTCCAATAAAAAACAAAAAACAAAAAAGGTTGCTTTGTCGTTCATTAACCTAGAAATTGGAACACAAAACAGTGGAGGGCGACATTTTACACAGTTGACAATGCTTTGTTTTCAGAACCTTTAGAACAGTAACTAGGAGTCCAAAGCATAATAGGCAGCAACTAGGGCTTTGGTACAGCACCCTTTGCTAATTAGAAATAGAGCTTGAGTATGTAGAGATGCTAAATATGATAGGAAAGTTTTAAACAACAGAAAAAAAGCTCTGGCAATTGAAAACAAATTTTCTACCACATTGAGGGTCCCACTAGACTAACTTTAAGTCATAATAGTACAAACTAGCTACAAGGCTCAGTTGTATTTGATCCCTTTAAATTGAGGTCCAAGAGAACAATTACTATCTGAATACAGCCAGTATAAATAAAGAAGACACCTCCTTCTTGTAAAAAGGAGTGCAGCAATCAATAAATTTTTCATAAGAATCACACCTGAACCCAGATTTGAATGAACTGAATTGGTTTGTCTATTGCAGAAAATCCACTAAAACATGATATGGCTTAATTAGCACTGGTCCTGAGATTCTATAACTTAGCTACAGCCAAGAAAGCATGCCACTTAGCTTCTCTTCATGCTCTTAATTTTTGTAGAAGAGACAAGATTATTTTTGACTATCATCTTAAAACTTTAAATTAGATGAATGCCAAACTCCTCATTATGTTAAAAACATTGGATGTTCAAAACATTCAAGTTTTCGCACATCAATATTAGAGAACAATGAACAGGTTCCTTAAATCTGGATATTTTACAGCTTCAGTTAAGCCCCCTTCTATTGCTGGCTGACAATTTTTGTTTCTGCCTCACATAGAAATACTACTTTGGTTTCCGCTTAATTATTGAAACGGTTTGTGGTACGGCAATTTCAACACTTTATTACGGAAAAAGCTTGATAGATTCCAGCAGAATGAAAATTTGTCCCATCTAGCTTTATGACAAGAGGTACAAAAATAGCATAGATTTTGAACAAATTGATATGTGTGCAGAGGTCTGCTTTGGAATCTGATTACTTCCAGCAATCTGCCTTCTTATCTCCAGCGCAAAGGGAGCTGATCTTGGCCTTTCAAACTAATGATTGTCCATTTTCAGCCCTCCTGAATAATATACATACATACATTTACTTACATACATACATACATACATACATAAATACATCAGGGAACAAGAAAACCAAATAGACCAACCCTGTGGTTCATATCTTCATAACATATCACTATTTTATTATTTAAAGCTATGCAAACAATACTGTTTTCTTTTATATAGTATTTACACAAGTGTTGATATGTGAAGAGGCCACCAACTACTTTACATGCATGATAACAAATTAGACAGCAAATAAAGAAATAAAGGAATGGAAATATAAATGATACAGAAATGATTTGCATAGGTTTTGGCACATTTAGTCAAAACAACACTTGGTGGTACAAAGGTAAACTGAGAACAAGTATAAAAAACTCACAAATTGCTAGTGGCTCTCTTCAATCATATCCTCATCACATGCCTGGATACCAAAAGAGACAAAAAGAAAAAGAGAAAGAGAGGGGTAGAGAGAAAGAGAGATTTTTGATGGGTATACAGAGAAAAGGGAAAATATGAGATTGCTTATATGAGATGACTGCATCAAGCAGCATAACGGAACTACTGACCTACATTGTAGGCTATGCTAAATACTCTCTATACCGTATAATAACAGTATTACAAACCAATTCAATAAGTCCCTAAAAAACTGTCTAACATTTATAATAAATTACTATGCATTTGAATTTATTAAACTTTGTCAAACATAATATGTCTGCATTAATAGATTATGAATATCCAGTTTGGCATAAAATACATATTTTTACTCATACCTTCGACTCTCAATGGCTGGTTGAACAAAAATACAAAATGGAAACTTATTTCAAGGGCTGACGTTGTTGAACTGAGAGATACAAGATGTAGTATGAAAAAGTGTTTTACCATAAGAACAACAAATACAAGCAACTTCTAATGTCTTCATGTGACAATTCCCTGTCTAACAAGATTACTGACAGCACCCTTTGGAATGATTTGAACATAAATAATAGGGTATAAGAAATTGACTTATAAACCTAAGAATATTTTTGGTGAATCTCTGCTTTAAATTACATGCAATGCAACAATAAATGTCTTCACACTATCACTCTTTCTACAGCCAAAGGAGCATTGATAAATCTGAAGTACTTTGTCAATACTAAGCTTTCCCAAACCCCATACAATTGACAAAAATTGTCTTCACATGAATTTGCATATTAATTTTGTAGCTAGGCTGGAAGCCTCAATCATACTAAGTGCCAATTTTTGGCAAGCTGGACTGCTTTTCTAAAACAAAATCAGCAGTTACTACATGGACTTTCAAAAGTAAATGCATAGACACATGGAAACAAGTTTTGATTTTAAAAATAAATAAATGTATAAGCCTCATCTCAAATCATAACTGTTTCCATTTTCAAACTCATTGGTTTTGAAACGATTGTACATAGTCAAATGTACAAGAAACATAATCTATTTGATGTGTAAAACTTGATTACTTATTTCACATAGTTTATAAAAATATTATAGTTACCATTCTACATGCTTGTACTACACAAGACAAATACTTCATTAATATCAACAAAGGCCAACTAAAATATACCATAGAAAAAAGAAGTAGAGTTCACCGTGTCATGCAAAAATCTGTTGATGACTAAAAAATCATCAGTAAATTTAAGGTATGTCTAATATTCATACTGTCAGTTGGTAAAACAACAATTTTCACAACATAAAATCAAATTTTAACTTTTAAAACGGATTTCATAATTTCTCAAAAAACATGATTAAAGAAACAGTAAAATCTTTAACATTCCTAACATACACACTGTATAATGGACATTCATCACTCATGTCTCAAACACGAGATCTTTTTCTTTAAATAAAATGTCATAACTCATCCAATGCACTACACTAAAAACCATTCTTACAATAACAACATTAATTTTTTTAGTCATAGTAACACTTCACCGGCATCACACTACAACTTGAAATTATCTAAGTATTAAAAGTTTGCATGTTTTAGCTTTCTAATGCTGCATCACTTTAAGTCTCCCCACCTCACCACTTTTGGCTCTGCACTTCATTGTAAGTCTCATTGCGTCACATAAAACGATGACATAAAACGATGACGAAGCACAATACGGCAACTTAAATGTTAGATTTTGAGAAAGACACTCGGAGATGATTCTGTTCACTCAGTTGATAGTTGTGCATTTTCTGTAAAGAAAAGATGTCACATTAAATTATTAGAATGATGTTCCCTAGTTTAATGTAAACATAGAGCTTAATATTTAACTCACAATTAAAGCACTGACTGCTTCATCCATTGATGAAAGTTGTATGAGAGCCATCTTTCTGTCCTTCCTGAAAACAGAAAAACAGAAACATTGATAAGTCCTGATCAGTCATCATACAGCATAACACACACCTGTACACACAAGACCATACATACAAAAACAAATACAGACACACACACACAAGAAAAATACGAAATTGTTTGTAAAAGTGAATGTCATAGTAAGCAGCGCGTTTGCCCTAACATGAGCTCTCAAAATCATGATTACAGGTAACATCACAAAGCCAGGTACATTTACAGATAGGTATTAATGATTCTATAGGGTAAGATATATTGTACAGGCAACCTAAGCATGAAAAGATGGACGCACATTCAAATTTGTGTTCTTTAATTGCAATATTTTTTAGAATGTCTGCAAGGTGGATAAGGGTTGAGGGGCAACTTTAAGATATATTTCTATGTTTTGATGAAGTGTATGGGAGTTGGGGAAAGAATACTTTGGTAAGCTATGAAGCATTTTGTTTTCTATTGCTATTAGCTAAATTAACATTATAACACACCTCCCTCCTGTTCTAAAACATATTACAGTATGTGGTTTAACACAGATGATTCCAAAATTTTCTCAAAGTATGCACTTTGGCCTGCCTCCTCCGTAGCAAAACAAAAGAAAGGGTGTATGGAGTGGGTAGATAGTGAGGAGGATGATAAATTTTATTTGTGATGAGAGCAAATAGCAAACTACTAGCATAAGGCAGCCCTGGTCTGGCAAGCCAAAAAATTTGAGTTTTCAGTGTAATAATCATTCAGTTATCAAAGCCATGTCTTGTAAGGACATGCTGCAAATGTAAGCAAATTGATTAATACAGGCCAAAGCATTGAATTAGTCTTAGCATTTTACTTTTCAAATTGAAAAGCAAATTCAAGTGCATAAATAATAAACTTAGTATTGTGTAATATTTCTAAAACACTTAAGTATTTGAAATGCAAAATTTAATTTATCACTCAGCACACTGCACTCAAGGTTCCTTACAAGTCAGAAGACAACTCCAGGACTGATTCACTTGCATCTTCCTTCAGTAATTTACCAAATGACCTGTATGAGGAATTGGCAAAAGTAACAAATATTTTACTGTCTACATTTTTTGGTGGGGAGAAATAAGTTTCTATTCAGTTCGGTGCAGTGATACTGTTTCTTAAGACAAGCCAAAATGTTTGAAGCAAAATACTTACGGGAAAAACTTAAATCCTTTAACTTGAAAGCCATTCTTTGCAAAAGCTTCTGTAATCTCTTCTTCTGATACACTGGGCCTGAAATGTAGAAAATTAAGATAAACATCAAACCAAATGCCAAAAAAAGAGGAAATAATCCTTCAGATAATTATATATTGCTATTTGAGAAAGAAAAATGTACTAACGGAATGTTTGATAAGTGTAATGTAGCAGATGGAGGATATATATTTTGATAGTTCTTGGAGCCAGGCTTTTTGAAACGATGAAGTGGTGAAGTGGTATAGTCTTTAGTGAGGCCGGCATCAGGTTGGCCTTCTTTGGGTAATTGCACATTTAGGTGCTTGGACGGCATTACACGGATTTGCTTCCCAAACATTCGTAGCTTATCCATATGAGTCATAGCTATAATTAACAATAAATAAACAATTAAAAATACAAGAAAGAACAAATAGATTATTAAACTCCTTCAAGCAAATTAATTAACGTCTTACCTAAGTTTGCCTGATGTGGCTCAGCCATTTGAATAAGAGCACTGTCTTTCTTGTTATAAAGAATCTTTACGCGTTGTACATCCCCATATACACCTGCATGGCAAAAATAAATCACAAATTAAGTCCATTTCACCTAATATTTTTTTCAGTAGCATACATATAAACAATAGAGATTTCATATTGTCTATGTTACATTACTGATCAATGGGGAAAGCATGATTCATGAGTCAGTAGAATAGAAATAGTTTCAAGAATCCAAAAACAAAACATTATAAAAATTGTCGACAGAACTTGTTCCAATCCAAATCCAGAAAGTTGAAAAATGTTTGAAATCTAAAAATATAGGGCAACATTAATTATATGGATAGGGACTGTTCATCACTCACTACTACATTCGGGATGAGATCACAATGAGTACCATAGATTGCACCCTAATGGCCTTAGACATGACAAATTTCAAAATTCAGAAAAAAATAAGGACCTATGCCCTGAAGGTACAAAAACATGCATATTTTTGCACTCATGCATGAAGCACTGAAGCATCATTCACCCTTACAACACTCTTCCTGGATAAATATCAGATGAAAAAAAAGGAACAAAAGAAATGTTTTTAAAATGCCTCACTCTAGCAGAGAAGATTGTTCAAAATATGTACATTGATTACGGTCAATTGGTCCATGTGTTGAATCATTATGGGAACCACAGGTTTAAGTAAATAGCAATTCAACATATTTGAAGACATCATTGAACTTCATTGATCGTGAAGGCATGAAGCATATTTGAGAGATTGTGTTCCGTATTGATTTTAATTAAAAATTAGAAGTTGTAAAAATTAAAAAAATCTATTGAAAGTGATGAAATTTGTGAAAGAAAAGGCCAATATATTTTTAAATACCATTTTAGAAGTAAAATGGAGACATAAAACAGTGACATAAAAAATGACGGATAATGAAATTTGAACCGTGACACAAGTGAGATGAAGAGTATAACAGATAGAACAGAGTTAACTGTGGAGTCAAAGGATGAACAGAGAATCAAAAGTGTTAGCCTAAAACCTACAAAGCAAATTAGGGATTTGCTAAGGTGGCATGATCACAAACTAGGCTGGAGCATTTGCATCATCTACACAACACAAGATGTGATAAGTTGCTTTGTTAGCCCTTAGGTAATGCTAACAGAATCCAACACCATTTTCACTTCAGGTAATTATCCTACTGCTTAATATCAAAGTTGGTCCCATAAAAAGAACTAAGTAACATTTATGAATAGATAAAACAAAGGTAAAGATAATTTGAAATAATTGATAATACGGTGTCAAAATAAAAGTCACGGAGACTGGTATAGTCATCAGAAAACACAGTAAATAAAATTGAAACAGTGAAAATTGTGTGCAATAACATACCGAATAGGGTAAAGAGAGCATCAGGCGTGACCATCTACGAAGGGAGAGACAGCACAAGAGAGGCGTTGTCGGTTGGCAGGAGTGACACCGCCAGGAAGGCACCAGAAACGGAAAGAAAAACAAATACAAGAGAAACATTAGCTTTTGTTGTGAAAAATAAAAAAAAATATTAAAGACAGGCAGATATAGTTCCGCGTTTGATAGAGGTTTTGATAAATTGGAACTGGTTGTTACTAATGAGTCAGAAAATGGGAAGAGAACAAATAAAGTTTGGTCGCAAAGGTTTCAAAGCAAGTCTGTGAGTGAGTGAGCAAGCGAGTGGATGAGGTATGCATCTAACTGAAATTTCTAGCGCTCTCTGGCAAACACACACAAAAAAAATATAATTCAAATTCCGGTAAGGGTAAAGGAGTTTGTAAAGAGTTAATTTGAACCCTTATCTTTCAGCAACAAAGGGAAATATAGAATGTTTAAATTGCAAAGTAAAGCACATTTTCCTGCATACTAACTAGGCAAGCATAATAACTCTTGAAGACAAATGTCTTAACCAAAATGAAAGTAACTAAATTTAAATTTACACTTGTCTCAATTTGTAGAATGTAGATGATTGTACACTGAAAGAGTGTTTCATTATGATTGAGTCTACATTTGACAAAATGTAAAATATAAAGAGAGACTGAATTCATAGAGGACTAATTTCATCTACTATATCTACACATTATTTAAACCAAAAACGGTTTGGCAAATATGATTTGAAATCTAATTTTGTTGTGGGAAGAAATGCGCAGGCTTCTATCTACAAATATAGGTGCAAACCGGCTAAGCTACTGGAGTCACTGAATTCAAAATTAAGTATGCTTGAGCAGGTGCACAAGCACTCACTCACACAGACTCACTCTGGAATGTTCATGAGTTTCCTTGCACTTCAAATTCTAACATATGACATCATATCTACTCTACGATTATGACCTCGGAGATCTGACGGATAAAGTTTTTGACAGCATTAAATCAACTACTTTCTATCGCAACAAGTACACTGACTATTTTACAATCTAGCGCTAGAGACCTTAAAATGACAAGAGTAAATAAAATACTTGAGCTGTTCCCAAATAGAACCAAGTAGCCCCCAAAAATGTATCACCCTCACAGTTGAATGTTTCATTCATCTTTAATCTTCAGATTT